AACCCCCTCTGCTACTGACCTGACCAAATCAATATCCCAGAAGTTTAATTAACTTGATGCTTTACTCTGATTACAAAGTGTTCCTTTAATTTTTTTGAGTATTGTATTTTCCAGCTTAATAAAAGCCGTAGCATGACTTTGACTTCTTAGACTGGTTTGATATTTACATTTGATTAGATGAACTATTAAGATTGTGAAATGGTGCTGCAGATAATGGAGGGAAGTTTGTTTCTGTGATACGATTAAAGAAAATGTAAATCCCTTTTAGAACTAGAGGCATATAATCTTTATCAGATATCCTTCTCATTTAGCTTTGTCTTTCCTAATGGAGCATTCCAGTATAAAACTAGGTCTGATGTTGGTCTCTTAAAATGATTTTCTCTTTCCAGGTGAAGGAGGCCTCCAATTCTTCCTGCAGAATCATCCCAACCTGGAGGTGTTAGAGGATTATGTTTATTTGAAGTGTAAGTGTGTGGATGTGTGATGATGTTTAACCTGGATCCTTCCTAAACCAATAACCATTTTTAAAAAGCTGGTCACCATCTCTGACGCTCTCCTGGATCTCAGCTCTGATGTGCTACACACTCAGGAGAACTTTAATAAATCCTTTATCAACCGGAGTTCATTCAGAGTAACTTGTTGGCTTGAAACGTCGTCTATCTCGCTTTCTCAACCAAAAATCCAGGATGATTTACTGTAGCACAGACCTGATTCAGAGTTCTCACTAAAACAGAGCCAAAGCTAATCTTGGTTCGTCTGTGCGGAGAATCTTAAGCCTGTTTCCAACTACCTGCATGTTCAAACTCCTCGGACGTTTAGCACATGAATCTGGATATTTTAGAAATATTACTGTGGGGTAAAGATCTTCATAGCCCCAGAACCGCTCGTTTTATAAAAGTTCATTAGTACGCTTCTGTTCCAATTGACCTGTATTTTTCTGCGTGCTCTCGTTCTCCCAATGTCCAGACTTTCCCGTGTTCTGTTTAAGAACACACTTGTTGAGGAAACGAGTCCGTACTCGGGTTCTTGTGAGTTTCAAAAGGTCAAAGTTTTAAAATGACCTTTCAAACAGGATGTTCATTGTGCTTTTTTTGCTAGCTTAGCAGTAGCTCATTTGTTGTGTTGTCAGCAGAAAAAAGGCACCTGTCCTGATCCAGAGAGCAAGCGCTAGCTGACTTAAAGGAATAGTACACCCAAAACATGATTAGCCTTCATTTTCTACTCACCCCCATGCTGAACAACACTCTGGAGTCCTTTTTTGATAACT